TTTTGGACCAGCTGGAGTTTGTTTATTAAGCACACAGAGCAACCACCCAATAAAGCATTGCAATCTAATTTATAATCTAACTCGTAAATTGAATATGTATGTCTCGACTAATCCCAGTGACTCTGCTGTGAAGGCTTGATGAATTCTGAATGAGTTTTTGAGTTTGGGCGCTGGCGACATCACTAAAGCACCTTACAATACTTGGAGGTTTTGTCTGACTGTATGTAGGATGAGCTCTTCTGGTTGACCAGTCAATCCAGCTGCCGAATAAAGGAGGATGGTGTGGTCAGACTGAGCATCCAATAGGGCATAAGTCTCTAAGCAGTGATTGCCGTTTCTCAAGAATACTGTACAGATCTTCAACAAAACTCGTCAGCTGCTGGTGAACCGATCTGTGTGCAGCATATCTGTGGTAGTGTTCAGGAAGCAGAAGGTCCAACCTTAGGCATCCAAGTGAAGGCTCGATTTTTAACCTCATGGAGGGGACATACAGGTGTCTGCGATTACAACTCTTGCAGAGAGTCCTGTGGTTACACTGTATGGCTTGATGTGCTCTTGTGTGGATGATTCAGTCAACATGGGACTGCATTATATTCTGCAACATCTTGAAAGACCTGGGACTTAATCAAGGATCTTGTTTGTAGACTTCAGTTCGGCCTGCAATACCATCATGCATGACCTTCTCTCAGACAAACTGACCCAGCTCTCTGTGCCCACCCCAATCTGTCATTGGATCACCAGCTTCCTGACAGCCAGGCAGCAGCTATTGAGGCTGGGGAAACTCACATCCAGGACTTTCATGATCAGCACTGGTGCCCCTCAGGGATGTGTGCTCTCCCCACTGCTCTTCTCCCTGTATATGAAGAAATGCACTGAAAAAGACCCCTCTGTCAAGCTCCTGAAATTTGCAGATAACACCATGGCCTCATATGCAACGGAGATGAGTCTGCTTACAGAAAGGAGGTAAAAGAGCTGGCTCTCTGGTGCAGTTACAACAAGCTGAACACGCTCAAATCAGTGGAGATGAATGTAGACTTCAGGAGGAAACCCCCTGCACTCCCCCTACTCACCATCATGAACAGCACTGTGGCAGCAGTAGAGTCATTCAGGTTCCTGAGCACCACCATCTCTCAGGACCTGAAGTGGGACACTCACATAGACTCCATTGCTAAAACGCCAAGCAGAGGTTGTACTTCATTTGCCAACTGTGTTCATCAATAACTGTTTGGTTTGGTTCAACTACCAAATCAGACATCAAGAGACTACAACGGACAGTCAGGACTGCTGAGAAGTTTATTAGTTCAATTAGCCCAACCTCCAAGGTCTTTACACCTCAAGAGTGAGGAAAAGGGCTAAGAAAATCACTTTGGACCCCACACACCCAGCTCACTGGTCGGCGCTACAGAGCACTGACATCTGTTGTTTAAGCTGGAGAAGGACATTCACTGGCAATGGACTCGACAGTAGAAGTTGATGCATTGCTCTCCGCGGTACTTTTTCGAGATGTTTTACCATGCTGTGCTGCCCTTTCAGGTGTTTTAACAAATTGGATGTGGAGTTTTTTGTGGTGAAAAGGTTTTCTTCCCCCCACATAGTTGACATCACACAATAATGTTCTTGCCTTTGACAGAAATAAACTCAAAACAATGATTATATTTCCAGCTACAGAATGCTTTCTTTTCTCTTTCCATGCTGAGTTAGTTGATAGTACCTGCCTCGTAGGCGCTTACCAGTCAAAGTAGGTCTTAGGTAGATGAAGTTGCATGTGCGACAGGTAGGCATCGACCTGAGACTTACTTTGAAAAAAGCTATTTCTCTTTTTACAATGTAGATGATAAAACACTGCATTCTGTCGGCAATGATGTAACGCAGAGGTAACGTACAGTGACCTGGTCTTGGAACTATACTCTAATTACTATTTTGGAAATTATAATGCGTTAAATTACTCCTTTACTAAAAAAGAAATCAAATTACAGTAACACATTACTTAAGTACTAAGTAATGTGTTACTGCCCAACACTGATGGCAGAGTGGAGTGCAGAGTGGTTAGGAGCAGGGTTTGAAATTAACACCCCCCAACCCGCCAAATGCGGGTAAAAATCAGCTGTGGGGGGTAACGTTGTCAAATCACTAGCCAATTTGGCGGGTTACTTTTCTTCACTCTTTAAATTCTTGGGGAAGTTAATGTAAGCAAAATCTGTGTAGATTTAGTGCAAATACTGAACTTGTGAGTCATCATGATATATTAAATACAGACTAATTGAGCAGCATCTGTGCATACCTAACTTACTTGAACATACACGCGCTGGTTTCCTTTGCATTAAGGCAATAGCGAAGACTCAAAAAATGACTTAAGACTCAGACACTCTGTGATTTTCTTACTGTCCAGCTGAACTCTCCTGATATCATGCACTTTGATCCCACCAATGTCTTAAATTTAGTCATATCAAATTTAAGGCCAAAAAAGTCTTAAATGGTACAACAAAGTCTTAATTATGATTTTAAGAGGTCTTAAATTTGGGGACAGAAAGACAAGAATTGCGATATAGCTTAATGTGATGATTAAACTTCAAAAGGCTATGATTTTATTGAATAAATATGAGCGCTGCATGTTTCAGATGCTGCATTCAAGTCCTCCTGGGAAGTTCGTGTTTACGAGTTGACAAGCTATATTTACGACGTCAGGTGTGTTCAAGTCACTTTGGTCGGAAACAAAATTTAACGATTTAACTTTTCTACATTAAATTCAACTATTTATTTTTAACTCTACATCTACAAAATGATGAACAAAGAATGTGCATCAAAGTGTTTCTGCAAAGGAGAAGTGCTCACTAACACAGATTTAGACAGATTTGTGAACAATATTTGAGAGAAATAGGCCTTTTGTGTACATAGAAAAAGTCTTAGATCTTTGAGTTCAGCTCATGAAAAATGGGGGCAAAAACAAAAGTGTTGCGTTTATAATTTTGTTCAGTGTATATTCTAAGGTAATTATACAATAATATAATATTTTATTAATTTCAACAAATTTACCGTCAATACAGACACTGCATATCTCTAGTCTTTGGCTTTCTCACTGAGTTTCCCCAACTCGGAAACTTAGGGCTTAAAGAAAATTGAGTTTCCCACTCGTAAAAATGACTTTGTGGTGGTGTTCATGTGCATTCAACACATAAATACGATCTATCCGACATGACTTGAATGCACCAAAAGTCCAACGGCAGTACATTAGCGAAGTCCCAGTGCATGTGCTGTGAACTGCATCCTATGAATACTAAACTGTTAAAGGAAAAATACTGAATCATCAGCGTACTGCATCTTAAAGTGACAATATATGTCTTAAAGTCAATACATGCATTCATTGTGGTAGTCCTAGCTAGGTACATGGCAAACAGGCTAGACCCTACATTTAAAAAAAAAAAAAAAAAGATCCTGCTAAAAAATACAGCAAAAATGTAAACATATTTAGGCAAGGCAAGTTTATTTATGTAGCACATTTCTTACACAAAGGTAATTAAAAGTGCTTTACATAAAACGGGATTAAAATAATCATAAAATAAAAACAACAGAGAAATACAAATAGCATAATAAATAAAAATAATAAAAGCAAAGAATAAAATTAATTAAAAATGTATTTAAAATGTATTAAAACAGTTAAGAATAAAAAAGAGGTTACACAAATTACAGTGCAATTAGTCGGACATAGCACAGGGCTCATTGAGTAAATGCACAACTAAACAGATGTGTTTTGAGTCTGGATTTAAATGTGGCTACTGTTTTAGCACATCTGAGCTATTCTGGAAGCTGGTTCCAACTGCAGGTGGCATAATAGCTAAAAGCTGACTTACCTGGCTTTGAGTGTTGGCTTGGTATTTCTAATTGACTTGATCCTAATGATCTGAGTGGTCTTCTAGGTTTCTATGCAGTGTGCATATTTTTAAGGTGCTTGGCCATTATGTGATTTATAAACAAGTTTTAATGATTTAAAATCAAATCTTAATGTAACTGGAAGCCAGTGTAAAGACTTGAAGACTGGTGGGATATGCTCAGTCGATGGGGTGATAAGGCTGTAAATCTATTTTACAAACAACCTGTAAATTGTACAGTTTACAACGGTAAAAATAAATAAATACAATTTAAATAAATAAACAAACACACAAACAAACAAACCTGTCCTTTTCTGTAGATTTAATAAATCCACACTGTTTCTTAAACCTGTTTTGTACGTTACTCACAACATCAACCATGGCCATATTGAAGTGCCTGATCCAAAAAAGATTTCAGCTGAAGTGGACCATTTATCTGGTCAACATGTTGTGTGACAAAACATTTGTTCCCTGATATGTGGAATGCATTTTCAAATCTGACAGACATAGACATATTTATTTTTCTATACTGTTAAAACAAGCAACACAACTATCAATACAGGATTTCATTTAGCCATACAACACAAAATGACTTGATTTTATATATTTTATACAGTATATTTTATTTTATATGAATGATATAATAATAATAATAATTGACATCTTTTCAATATTGAATAAATTAGAGTATTCTGGGAAATTAAGTGTTCTTCCACCATGGTCCATAAAATAAAATTGTAAAGTTCATAAAGTAAAATTGCTGTTTTTAAATTGCTGCAAAACATTTGATTAATTAATACATTATTTATGACTAAATTAATTACATTGCATTTATTTGCATTTGGATTTCTCAATTCTCATTCTCATTTAAAAAAAATAAATTTCCATCCTGTTTCACTTACTTCAAATTCAGGAATTGAATTAGACATGGTACACCACATGGTATTTAGGATTTATTGTTTCACTGCTGGAAAATGCAATACCTTGACAATACATTAATTTCATTCAACAATGGTTACATATAATTGTTTTTACTGTGCCTAAGGACTTTTATCCTAATAAAAGGATATATATATATATATATATATATATATATATATGGCAAATATCAATCTGTTAATCTTTTTTTCTCAGCCTTAAAGTGTGTGTGTCACTTGTGTGTAAACCACACCTGTGAGACGGAGGCAGAAGGAGCATGTTGGAACTCAGTAATGCTCATAAATGGGAAGGAGGAGGCAGTGAAGTCTTGCCTGTCCCCATCAGAGCTCAAGGGTCAGGTGTTCTGCTACAGCTCCCGAAACGTCTCCAAACGCAACTGCTGCTTTACAGACTTCTGCAACAATGAGACGCTGCACCTCAGTCCAGGTATGGCAGGCCATTTGAATCGCATTCTGAAACTGTCTGGTTCTAAAGAGTGCTATATAGAATTAAGCGTTATTAACAGTTTTATTTTGACTGTAAGGCTTTTGTGAGCAGAATAACAAATCTTTTTTGCTCAGTAAATGGAAACCAGCAACGTCTTAAAACCATCATGTCTTGGTCTCTTGATCACAACACATTTGAAGTGTTTATCCTCTTCTTCCACCAACATGACATACCAAGGTTGGCTGGGTCACTAGCGGATAGCCGAAAGTTATTAATACTGTGTGTATCCTAGCAAGGCAGTTGAAATCCTCTGAGCAGCTATCTAACAGGCCGTCACACGGGACTGCTGGCTTGAGATTGGTGCACCAGAGTAAAGGTCAGCAAAGGCAATCCTTTGTGCCTGACCATTTCAGAAAAAAAAAAAAAAAAAAATTAACAAAACTTTTTAAAAGATTAATTTCAATTTCAAAGTAGCATAGCCACAAAACATCATAACTACATTCGGGGACTCCTTTATTCAGATGGTGGTTCTGAATTATGAGGTTTTCATTGGGTGAACTATTGGCTGATATTTGAACTGAAATGACACTGATAATGTCATACCCACAAAAGATTGTCAAAGGCTAAAAGTTTTAAATTGGAAGTTAGGACAGTGAACTGTTGTCTAAGATAGTGAGACAGTAGGCTATCTATGGATCAACAATTTTAATGACATCATTCTGCGCTTCAGCTCATCAGATTTTCATCACACACACACACATTTATATGTATATCACACACACATTTATAAATAAATATATATATACACATACATACATATATACTGTATATATATATATATATATATATATATATACTGTATATGACGACGGCGATGGTGACGACATAGAGGCAGCATGAGATCCAAATGCTAGAAGTTTAATATAGCACTCAGCGAGCAAATACAAATCACAAGACAATATCGTAGATGAAGAGACAAGTAGATTTTGTGTAAACGTGAGATCAGTCGATTACCATGATGGTGGTGTAACCGTTAGATGCAGGGTCGATGCGGGATTTGCAGGGGCTGGAGCAGGCCGGCTGGAAGTTCACTAGGGGTTTCCGATCGAGCACAGACTGACAAACCTTGGCAAAATTAACGGCATCCCTGTTGATATTCAGCCACCAGAATGCATTACGTTGTGGTTCGGTGGATACCAGGATGTCTAGAGCTTAGTGAAGTGTGGACCCACTGCAAAGTTTCATGGTGTACAGCTTGAGGAACATATTGTCAATTAGGAGAGCCTTCTGGTGGTGGTGGGTCATCTTGTTGTGCTCGTTGAATCTCCTCCATAATATCCCAACTGCTCTGTGCAATGACTACGGAAGGCTGTAAGATAGGCATGATAAGATGGTCGATCTGTTCAGGATCATGCCTGCGTGAGAGTGCATCTTCCTTGTTGCCTGGATGGTATGTTACGGTGAAATTGAAGCGGGTAAAGAATAAGGACCATTTGGCCTGCCTGGGATTCATATGTTTGACTCCTTTGATATATTCAAGGTTCTTGTGATCAGTGATAATCTGGAAAGGACGAGTAGCCCCCTTTAACCAGTGACGCCATTCTTTGAGTGCTGCCTTCATCGAGAGAAGTTCCTTATTGCCCACATTGTAATTCCTCTCAGCAGCATTTAATTTTAGTGAGAAGAAAGCACAGAGATGAAGCTTACTGGGGTTGCCGTGGCGTTGCGAGAGTACCGCACCGATCCCACAATCTGAGGCATCTACTTCTACTACAATGGGCAGTTCTGGGTCTGGGTGTTTCAAGATGGGTGCAAGATGGGAAAGCTGGTTTTGAGATTCTCACAGGATTTAACTTCTGCCCCATTCCACTTTAATTTAGTGGGGTTGCCTTTGAGTAGGGAGGTCAATGGTGCTGCGATCAGACTGTAGTTGCGGATGAACCTGCAATAAAATTTGGTGAATCCTAGGAACCGTTGGAGTTCTTTAATTGGCTTTGGAAGGGGCCATTCAGAGACTGTTCAAACTTTAGAATCATCCATTTCAACTCCTTGATGGCTGATGATATATCCCAGAAATGAGGTCTTGCAAAAATGAAACTCACATTTCTCCAGCTTGGCAGTGGTAACCAGTGGTAACAGATATCAATACTTGACAGTGACGTTGTTCAAACCCCAATAGTCTATGCAAGGAAGAAGGCTGCCGTCTTTCTTTTCAATCCAATCTGACAATTTTGCAGTAATTTACTGCATTTAATGTGTGAAAGTATCTAATGGCCTTTGTTAATTATTGAATGTTGGTTAAACGGAAATTGTAGTCATGTTTTCTTTCCTATTGTGACAAAATATGAATGAAACTGCTCCTTAAACACAAAAAAATGTCAGGGTGCAACTGGATTGTTGTTGTGTTTGGTAATTGCTGCGCTCTCATGTGAGTGTCAAGTTGCCCAGCCCTTGCACATGCACAGATCATCAAAGAAGAGACTGCAGAAGATATTGGTGAAAGGGGATGATCATGCTTTGTGATAAAAGATTATGAGGGCACATTATTTTTTTTTAAATAATGATGCACATAGATAAATCATTTATAATTTGTGATTTATTTAATACAGAAGTGTGACATCATATCTTGTAGCTAAAATCTAAATCAGTCACTTATGTTCTTAATTAGCGCTTATGTTCTTAAAGATATTATATATTATATATTACACATTTATTTTGAAAAATAATATTCCCATAATTCTGTCATTTAGGAGTTATTCCAGATTATGGTAAACATTCAAATAAATTTTATACAAATGTATTATTACATTTCTTTAATATTTATTGACTAGAGTGAAATCAATGTTATGTAGTGGGAGCATTCTGAAATGTAAAGGTTCATTTCCATTATCTGCCTGTGCATAAGACATTGCTTGTGTTTCTTCCAATGAAAGTATTGGCTAAAAATGTGATTTTCCATGAAACTATTACAGTCTTGGCCAATGGACAGTGTATGTTCTGCCTCTGTTGTTGTGCAAATACATTTTCACAGTTATTGGTGCTGGAGTTCATCAGGTTGTAGGTCAAGCATTGTGAAACTCAAGGCCCTGTTGAAAATATGACACACAGCATCTGTAACATCACAGGGCACAGAACTACAATTACTGTTACCATGGTTACTGCAACTACTGCATCTTTAGGGCTTGCATAAGATCTGAAAGCCTCTAAAATAATAGAGGAGACGGAAAAACATTTTAATAAAGGTTGTTTATTTACATACTATTTAAAGGTTGTTTTGGTGCAGTTTTCACAAGCAAGTTGTACATTTTCAATAATCTTAGTACTCATCTCACAACAGATCATTAAAATTAAAATTTTCAAACATTTCAGTATGTTTTTAATTGCATTAGTACAAAACAAAATCACAAAGTATCACAAAGAGTTTCACAGTACAAAATAAGTGTTAACTGTAATAACTGTAATGAAAGAATGAGATCAGGTTTTGAAGATGTGAAAACTGCACCAATTGTTAGTCCCACTCACTGGACTTTTCGCTTTGAAAATGTCCCAAAACATCTAAGAAGCAATGTAATATCTTTTTGTAGAAATGTCGACACAAACATGTTTCTCGTTGAAAATTATGAATATCTGAACATTTTAAACACTGGATTCCTTTGGATTTACTCATACCGGACAAATCTAAAATATATATATTTTTCTTTGGTGAGTGTGCCGTTATGGTGTATGTGAAAATTTCCTTTTTTAAATAGCCAATAGTGTTTAGTTTACATCATATTGCTGTAGTAACAGCTTCATGATGTTTATAAGATAATAGTAATGGTGATGATGTGCAGTTTGAAAAGCTTGTAGTTTATGTTGCCGCATGGCTCCAGTGTTGTTTCCTCACCTCAATTTGTCAGTGCTGTTTATAATGTAAAGGTTTTCTAACTTTTTGAGATGCTTGATCCCTTCTATAATTCTTAAAAATACAACATTTTGTTTAGAAATCAAATGGGTTGGATATGTTTTGTAGTCTGCACCAACTAACACATGTGACCTCTGTACTGGAGCACACTGTGTGCATGCTTTCACTATCCCCTATTTCCTTTGTATGATGGGTGCCCAATGTTCCTGGGAATCTACCTTCCTACAAACTTTAGCTCTAACCCTAACCATATAGAGCTCTATCCATCCATCCATTCTCTAAACTTGTCCTCTCTAGGGTCGTGGAGATACTGGAACGTATCCCAGCATCTCGGGCCACAGGCGGGGAAAACATCCTGTACAGATGAGATGACCAGTCTATCACAGGCTATCACATAGAAAATCTGATGAGAAGCTGAAGTGCAGAATGATGTCATCAAAGTTTTTCATCCGTCATGGTCATAGAGATTGACTCTAATTTTCAAAATTTTGGACAATAAGAATTCTTTGTGAATAATGCAGAGAAATGCTCAGTAACTGATGACATAAATGCATACTAGACATAAATGCAACGTGATACAACCAATGAAAACTCCCAGTACTAATAGATGAAATATCAACACTCAAATAAGACCATTAGTTTACTTTTGTATAAGAAAAAATATGTAAGGAATAATTGACAGTGGACCCCTGAATTATGGTAATGCGGCCATGACAAAAAGTGTAGAGAGAGAGAGAGCAAGAATGACAAAGAGAGCATGCTCTCAAAGTGGAAATTGTTGGTCATTTTTTGTACTATTGATTATCATATTTATTTGCTCAGCCAATGTATTTATTTATTTTTATGGTAACACTTTACAATAAGGTTCATTAGCTAATGTTAGTTAATGTATAAACTAACATGAACAAACAATGAACAATACATTTATTGCAGTATTTATTCATCTTTGTTAATGTTAGTTAATGAAAATACAGTCGTTCTTTGTTAGTTCATGTTAATTCACAGTGCATTAACTAATGTTAACAAGCAGAGCCTTTGATTTTAATAATGCATTAATAAACGATGAAATTAACATTATATAAGATTAATAAACACT